ACAACTTTTAACATTTGTATTGAAAAATAATTGTGCAAGAATTATCAAAATCTCCATGAAAAGGTACTGTTGAGGAAAGATTTATTCTAACAGGTAACACAATTTACTATGAAACTGATTCCTGAGATTACCACAGAATGAAAAAAACAGATAGCAAGAACTAAATGAGTAATGTGGAAACATTATAGAGAAAGAGATAATATATTCAAAAGATTTTGATTAGGAAAAATGGTACCTATTTATGTACAAACAAATAAGCCTGAATCTCTGTGGATGAGATCCTCCACATTTCCTTACAAAAGCCAATAACTTTTAGTCATCTATGGATTTGACAGTGGAGGGTCAGGGAAACTTTCAGAATAGAAACTGAGCTCTTGAAGTTAGAGGTGTTTAGACAGAACAAACTCTGAGAACTAAGTATGTTGCATAGTAGCAACTTCTAGAAAGTAAATATGAGGGTCTGGGGTTGGGGCTCAGTGATAAAGCCCTTGTCTCACATGTGTGAGGCCCTGGGACCCATTCCCAGCACCACAAAAAAAAAAAAAAAAAGAAACTAAATCAATGTGAGTATCATTTACTCTCAACAAATAAACTTAAACCAAACTAATACTTTAAATAGTATTTTAAAAGCATATACTTTCCAAAAGGAAATGTACAGAGACATTCCATGGACATTTTTTATTTAAAAAAGGAAGGTAATATTTGTTCAATAAATATGTAGTGGACAAATTGATCTGAATATGTAACAATTCATACAGATCTTTGTTGATATTTTTCAGCCACATGATTGGGAACTTCCTTAGCCAATTCTTCAACCAACATTTTTTGTTGTAGCTGCTCTCTCTTTTCAATCTTCTGTCAAAAATTATGTGTCTGCCTTCAATTCAAAGATTCAGGAATATGGCTGTTTTGATTAGTGAGAACTCTTATGTGGTCTATGAACCTAGGGAGGGGTTCCTCAGAGTGAGTGTTTTTCCTCCAACCCCAGACATGAGATGCCACAGCCCTGCCACTTCCTGTCTGGGGTGGCATTCCCTGCCTTGGTCCCGCCAACAGGTGGCTGTCTCAGGCAGACCCTGGGTTTTTGTGCACCTCCCCCCACAGTCCTCCCACTGTGTCCTCTCTCAGTGCACAGAAATACACTGCTGAGTCCCCCAGCTGTGAGGCTGAGATGACAAGCTGGATGGATTTGCTGGCCTTCTGCAAATTCACTGAGTAGTGACCTTCTGTGGCATTTTCCCGACCATAAGAGTTCTGATGGATGAGGAAGACCATCTCCCAACTGCTGGGCTGCTTGTACCAGAGGAGACTATAACGTGCATCACTGGTGTCATAGGAGCAGAGCAGGCTCACATCCTCCTTCTCCTGCACCCACATGGCTGGCTGGGCCTGAGTCACCTTCTGGGCAAAACTGGATCCTGAAGAAAAAAGGACAGAATCAGAAAGTTGAGGGACAAGTGGTGGGGAACCAAAAAAAGAAAAGGTGCATTTTTAGACAGTGCTAAACATCCCTTCCAAAGTCTCTGTAAGGCTACCCTGTCCCCCAGTCCCTTAGTCACAGAGGAGGCCTATTCCCATAGGCATCATCCTTACCCAGCCACATTGATGCCATGAGCAGCTTCAGCAGCCTGGGCAGCACCATGTTTGCCTTTTTCCTGCAGAAGAAATTCTTCTTTGACTTCAGGGCTCTGCACTGGGAGGGGAGCCTGACAGGGTGAGGGAGGAACCACTGGGCTCCAAGCTGCTGCTGCCCCTGAACAGGAAACAGAGGCTTCCTGGTGCAGTGAGTTGGTGTATGTCACATCAAACTGCTCTGTGTCCTGGCTGATGATCTCACCCACCCAGATTCCCTTCTTAATTTAACGACCATTGAACCTGAAAGCAAACTCGGACATACAGGAAGGAAAACAACCCCGCCAACTGCTGAGCTCAGTCATTGCACCTGTGATGGCACTGGGAGGTGGCACTTGCTTAAAGCACTATGTGTAATGGATTATGGAGACAGGTGAGAGGCCATAGTCATGGATACTCTCACCTGTGTGTGGTGCCTTTTATTCTAGAGTAAAAATCAATCATTTTATCAACAGAAGTCTCATCTGTGTTTACTAATCACTGCAGCTCTCTTCACCTGCTTACTGGTATAATAATATTCCCCATTAGTTCTAGTGTATGTCTAGTTACCTATCTTGGACCAAGCAGCAGAAAATTATCATCATCATCATCATCATCATCATCATCATCATCATCATCATCATCATCTCTCTTTGCTAAAATGTTTAGAAGGAAGCCCTCAGACAGTGAATCCTGTCATAAAGGTCCTCTTCTTTTCTCAATTTAGTTTTCCCTGCCCAGCTCTGTTCATGAAGGCCAGATTAGGTACCAGAGTTTGGTCAGCAGATTATCCAACCTCTGAATTCTTATTTTTCCTTTTGCCTCAACTGGGGCCTTGATGAAACACAGCAAGTTCCCATATTCTGTATACCGAAATCTCCATGAAACCTATACTGAGTTACCTCAGACACCTCCCTAGGACAGATGACCATAGCATGAGAAATTGTGAAAACCCTTCTTTTTAATGTGCACATTAAAGATAAGGACATGTCCTAGAAACATTACTGACCAATGTGATAAGCAACAAAGACGCATTGCTGGCCATCCCCTGTATCTTAATACAATGGTCAAGATTATCCTCCTTCTCTCAAAATAATTTTTTTTTGTCTGGGTTGATGGAAGCATCTTCAGATATTGCACTGAAATCCTGATTAAATATGATGACACCACATCTATTGCAACTGCTCTGCTTTCTAAAAACACCCAAAATTTTTTTAACCAGGAGGTTAACTAATTTATGAGATTATGAAATTCTTCTCATAAATCCATTGCAGTTTTCATTCAAGGGAATCACATTATTGTACTTCTATTATTCAAAAATCATCCATATCCAAAAAAGATATTGACACTCCATGCCAATTTTGTTAATTAATTGACTCTTATTTTAAAAACTGAAAAAAAGAATAATACCAGGCATATATTATATATTGGAAATTTACATCAAATACTTGAAATATTTGATGTCTTTATACTAATGAAAGAAATTTTGTCCTGAAGACAAAGTCCCACACCATGAGAGGCACCATAGAACCTGGAGGGTGGTGATGCTTGAGCAGATGATCATGATGAATTAAACATGGCTTTCTGACTAAAGTCCTTATGCAAGGGTATATAGCTCAGTGGTGGAGCACCTGCATGGCATATGTGAAGCTCTGAGTTCCACTCCCAGTACCACAAAGAAAAAACAAAACTCAGGTGAAATTAATTACTGTATCAAACATGCTTGAGCCCCCACAGCCTGTAAAGCATTGTTCACCTAAGCTCTCATGGCCCTGCTTCCCCCCAGCCACCCCACACAAAATTGTATGTTTTCTGGATGTGAAATGGTCACCTGTAGGCAGATGTAGCTCCCAAACCCTACATATTTCATTGTTTTACAAATTAAACCAGATAAATAAACTCAGCATAGTCCATTGTTTCATCACCATGCCAACAGGCTGCTTTCCGGGCATTTCGTTTAATCAGCCTGTATGTCATTTGAACCCAATGACAGAGGATAGGAAAATAATGCAGAGAAAGATGCCTCTGAACCTGTGGAACTGTCCTCATTAAGTGCAATTTACTACCAGTTGAGCAAATAAAGTACAAGGAATTAATCCTTAGTTGCATTTAACAACTAGTATGACTCATTCTTAAATGACAAGAATTAAAAAGTAACTCACATTAAAAATCTTAACTAAGATTCTGTGGACAATGTCCTTATGCAGATAGTCCTCAGAAGATGAGTGCTGACCCAGGATCCTTGAAACACATGGGCCCTGGTCCCACCTGTACAGTGCCTCTGAGACTGTCAGAACAGAATTCTCTAGCTGATTGGAACCACTTGGTGTGCTATCTCCTGTGCAATCCTTATTTTTTTATACTTTAAATAATATTTTCTAATCTTAATGGTAGAATGTAATGTATTTCTTATTGATCTTACTTTGTTCTAATTGCTAATAAAATAACTTGATTAGGTAATGCTTTATTTGAAGCAATAGACACACTAGTGTAATAATTCCACTCTCCAAGCCATTAGTAGTAAATATATAAATATATATTAAGTATATAAATATGTATTAAATATATAAAATAAAAATTTTATAAATAAATAAATTATTTCACCAGAAATAATGATAAGGGAGAAATGAAAATTAAATGTGAAAGAATAAATTTAGCTTTCATTATAAATTGGAACTTTATCAAAAAAGAAAGGCAAATATAAATAAAAATAAATACATTTATTTAAAGTAAATTTTGCGACACAAAAATTGAATTTACAACAAAATGTCATAGAATGCATGTAGATAGTTAAATGGTTATATAGAGAACCAAATTGCATATTTTTCTTTTGTGTTTTTTTGTATGTTTGAAAAGAATGACAAAAAACTATTCATTTGACACAAATATATACTATAAGATGAGTAATTAGAATTATTATATTGTATATTAGATATGTGGACTTGTGCATTTTTCATATAGACTTCTTCATATACTTTGACAAAATGTTAGAAACAAATTGTCTAGATACATAATTATCAATTTCACATTTTTTGTTATTTTACATATTTTATATTTGGCATCTAAAGTTTTATAATCAGAAAAATAAATAATGTGATAACTAAAGAGTCTAAAACCCACCAACAATAAGTATTATGTTGATCACAAGGGGTTATTTATGCGAGAGGAGTCTGAACTCATCTTCAAAGTCTGAATTTCAAGGTAAAAACCATTCTAATTCCCTTTAAGAATCCATTAATTGCAATTTTAGGATTACCTATAACATGCAAATATCTGGAGTTGGAAGCTCCTTCCTCCATGCTTTCCATATGCATCTCTTTAATCATCTGCCAAATTTCACTATGTGTACGATAATCAAAACACCATATTTTACACCTTAAATGTACCACAAATGCAAATTTAAAATAATTACTAAGAATAATCAACCAACAAAACATTCTAACTCTTTCTAGATCATCATGGACCTAACGTTTTTTATTACATGCTTTTAATAACTATATGGCAGTTACTGCTTTCCAAAACAAATATAGCAAACAGTATACTGGGAAGTCTATGGAAAGGAAGCAGCTCAGCTCAGTGGCAGGTTTGAGTACAGGCTGCAGGTGTCTGGGAAGCATCGTGCATCAGCTGCACAGAAGTAGACAGCTGAGTCTCCAGGTTGGGTGGCTGTAATGTTCAGGGAGAAGTGTTTGGCTTTCTTATCCAACACAACAATGAATCTTTGGATTTGATTTATCTCCTTATTTGAACGTATGTCTATAATCATCCGGAAACCTTTTCCAGCCTCTTGCTTATACCAAGGAAAGTAGTTAAAACCACTATCTGAATAAGTACAGTTGATAACAGCGCTGTCTCCCTCCTGGACACTCAGGGTAGAAGGCCGCTGCTCCACCTTCTCTCCTTGGCTCACCCCTATGCAGAAAGTAAAAGAAAAAAAGATGATGTTGGCATGTGGTTACTCTTCAGAATTTTTGTTTTCTTCAGTGACTATGGAAAACCTGCATAAAGCCAGTCTTCCCAGGTATCTAAAGAACATCTGCTAATATAGTCTTCTTCCCCCAAATCCTCAACTCACAGTCCAGATGCAGCCACACAAACATGCATAAAACAAAGGGAGATGTCTTCATTGTTCTTCCCAATTGAGATCAATCTAGACTTGCAATCTACCCAGGAGCTACTTCTATTATCAGGTTTCTCCTTTTGTCTCTAACAATTCTAGTGGCTTCTCTTATTGTCAACCCAACCAATAAGAAAAAGTTCCTGTTTCTCCACCAAGTTTATTATTCAGAAGCCACTGCAATGAACCTCCACCTACTCTGCACCAGCTGGGGTAGACTGCCACCGTGTGGTCACATTTCTAACTACTGAAAAAGACAAATCCAGCCTGACAGATGCATAAAATCCCACACAGGAATAGAAGAAATACATAAAACTAAGGAACACAATGCCTTCTAAAGTTCATAATTCACCAACAACTTACCCCAGAGATAATGAAGTGGATGAAATACCAGATAAATAATTGCAAACAATCATTATACAAATGATCAATGAATTCCAAAAGAACACAGAAAAACAACCGAATTAATTAAGGAAGTTAGTACAGGATAAGAATGAGAAATTCAATAAGGATATATAAATATTGAAAAAGAACAAAATAGAAATCTTGCAAATGAAAGTCACACTGAATCAAATAAAGTGTTTAGTTGAACATCTGTAATCGAGTGGACCATGCTGAAGACAGAATCTCAGAGTTGGAAGATAAAAGAGTTGGCCTTGAACATGCAAAAGTATTAAAGAAAATAAAATACATAATCATGACCAGAGTATACAAGAATTCTGATACAACATTAAGAGACCAAATTTAAGAATCATTGGAATCAAAAAGAATACTCAGATACAGGCTGATGACATAAATAAGTACTTGTGGGAAATAACAAAAATGTTTCAAAACCTTTTAGAATGTGAAGGATATTCAAATACAGGAGGCATTCAAAACCTCAAACAGACAAAAACAAAAAAGAATGTCTCTTGGATCTGGGTTGTGCTTAGTGGCAGAGCACTCGCCTAGCATGTGTGAGGCACTGGGTTTGATCCTCAGGAACACATAAAAATAAATAAACCAAATAAAGATAAAAAAAGAATGTCTCTTGATGTATTATGATTAAAGTGTTTACCATAAAGAACAAGGAGAGAATTTTTAAATCCTCAAAAGAAAAACAGCAGGTTGTATCAAGAGGAAATCTCACCAGAATTACTTCTGGTTTCTTAACACAAACTCTAAAATCCAGGAGAACTTGTAATGATGTGTTCAAAGTCCTGAAAGAAAATAACTGTCAACCAAGATTGCTATATCCAGCAAAGTTTTCCTTCAGAAACAAAAAAGAAATTTAAATACTTTCCAAGAGAAGAAAAATCTAAAAGAATTTACCAATACGATGCTGGCACTACAGAAAATACATTAAGAGATACTACATACAGATGAAACCAAAAACAAACACAAGAGCTCACAAATGAACAAATCTAATTTAAAGAGGAGCTAAGTTGAAAAATAAGATAAAATTAAAAACAAATCAGAATGGCAGGAATGAGCAATTCACCTCTCTATAATAACATTAAATGTAAATGATCACAGCTCTTCAATAATGGAAAATGATATACCATGCAAATGGACCGCAAAACAAATATATGTAGCTACTCTCCTATCTAACAAAGCAGACCTCAGAGAAGGCATTAATTTCCAGGATTTATACAAAGAACTCAAAAAACTCATCACCAGAAAAATAAATAACCTAATCAATAAATGGACAAAGAAATTGACAAATAATTCACAGAAGAAGAAATATGGATGGTCAACAAATACATGAAAAAATGTTCAACATCTCTAGCAATGAGAGAAATGAAAATTTTAAAAAACTACACTGAGATTCCATTTCACTCCAGTCAGAATGGCAATTATCAAAGAATGCAAATAAAAATAATTTATGGCAGGGATATATGAAGAAATGTAATTTTATACATTGTTGGTGGGACTGCAAACTGGTGTAACCACTCTGGAAAGAAGTATGGCAAATCCTTAGAAAACTTGAAACTAAACTGACATTATGAAATTGTTTTTTCACAATATAACAGAAAAAGCATATATTGAGGACTGGATGTGTGAGACATGGAGTAGTATGAGAGGGAAAGAAATGACCCTGCACCATGGAACTCCAAGAGCATTTTCACATCCACACATAATCTATTGTGTATGAGGTTATACTAACCCATCTTTGGGCCTCTTCAGAAGCAGAGACAGGATCCTCAGGATGGGTTTCCATTACTGCTGTATAACATCAATAATGGATGATGGATTAGGAAGAGACTACTTCCACATAAAATAGAATAAAATGGGACTTTAGTAAGTATAAAGATCATCACAGGGTTTGGTATGGAGGTGTACTCCATGTGTGAGCCAGGGATCAATAGGATGTTTCCTTCTGATTATTTCTTTCATTTACCTGTAACGTCATGTTCTCATAGGAAACACACAAACACTTGAACAAGCTGGAAAACCTAGGAGAGACAGACATGTAACTTTACATGTAAAGAACTTTTTCAAATATCCCTATTGATTTCCAGCTTGAACCACCTTCTTTCAAGCATAACTTCAGGATTCAAGATTCTTAACCAGGGATGGCTATAATATTGTAAAACTTTGTGCAAAGTGAAAATTGATGATACCTTGTTTAAAAAACAGAAAAAGTGCTATGAAATAATATAATATACATGTCTCTTTACAAAATATTATATTATTTATAAAACACAATAAGATTTATAGTTATACATATAAGTATCAACACAAACTTAAATTAGCATCATAAGTTTACATTAAAATAAGTAATATTTCTTTGTGAATATCTTTGTGAATAATCTTTCTTTGTGAATATTTCTTTGTGAATAAAAATTTTCTGCCTTCTTCTAATGCAATTTAAGTTATATGATTTTTTTTAATTTATTTTTTTATTGGTTGTTCAAAACATTATAAAGCTATTGACATATCATATTTCATACATTAGATTCAAGTTGGTTATGAACTCCCAATTTTACCCCAAATACAGATTGAAGAATCACATTGGTTACACATCCACATTTTTACATAATGCCCTATTAGTAACTGTTGTATTCTGCTACCTTTCCTATCCTCTACTATCCCCCCTCCCTCCCCTCCCATCTTCTCTCACTACCCCATCCACTGTAATTCATTTCTCTCCTTGTTTATTTTCCCATTCCCCTCACAACCTCTTATATGTAATTTTGTATAACAATGAGGGTCTCCCTCCATTACCATGCAATTTCCCTTTCTCTCCCTTTCCATCCCACCTCATGTATCTGTTTAATGTTAATCTTTTCTTCCTGCTCTTCCTCCCTGCTCTGTTCTTAGTTGCTCTCATTATATCAAAGAAGACATTTGGTATTTGTTTTTTAGGGATTGGCTAGCTTCACTAAGCATAATCTGCTCTAGTGCCCTTCTTGGACTATTCCCTGAAGACCTTAAAAGAGCGTACTACAGGGATACTGCTACATCGATGTTCATAGCAGCACAATTCACAATTGCTAGACTGTGGAACCAACCCAGATGCCCTTCAATAGATGAATGGATAAAAAAAATGTGGCATTTATACACCATGGAGTATTACGCAGCACTAAAAAATGACAAAATCATAGAATTTGCAGGAAGTTATATGATTTTCAAAACTTATTCTTTTTAAAAATTATTTATATATTATTTTTTTGTCATATACGAGAGTAGAATGTATTTTGACATATCATACATATATGAAATATAATGTCCAATTTTTGTGGTTGTACATGATGTGGAGTTACACTGGTCATATATTCATATAAACCTAGGAAAGTTATGTCCAATGCATTCTACTGTCTTTTCCATTCCCATCCTTCTTTCCTTCACCCAATCTCTTTTCCAATCCAGTGAACCTATTGTGAGTCAGCATCCACATATCAGAGAGAACATTCAGGCTTTCATTTGGGGGGATTGTCTTATTTTACTTTTCATTGTAGTCTCCAGTTCCATCCATTCACTGGAAAATTCCATAATTTCATTTTTCTTTGTGGCTGAATCATATTCTATATTCCATGCATCTATTGAAGGGCATCTGGGTTGATGTCATAGTTTAGCCATTGTGAATTGAGCTGCTATAAACATTGATGTGGCTGCATCACTACATTATGTTGATTTTAAGTTTTTCAGATATATGTCGAGGAGTGGGATAGCTGGGTCAAATGGTGCTTCCATTCCAAGTTTTCTGAGGAATCTCAGAAAAGAGATTCCTGTTTTTAAGAGTGATTGCACCAATTTGCAGTTCCACCAACAATGAGAGTACCTTTTTCTCCACATCCTCATGAACATTTACTATTACTTGTATCCTTGATAATTGCCATTCTGACTGGAGTGAGAAGGAATTGCATTTCTCTAATTGCTAAAGACATTGAACATTTTTTCATATATTTGTTAACTAGTCATATTTCTTCTTCTGTGAAGTGTCTGGTCAGTTACTTTGCCAATTTATTGATTAGGTTATTATTTGTTGGTGTTAAGTTTTTGAGTTCTTTATATATCTTGTAAATTAATGCTCTAACTGAAGTGCATGTGGTCAAGATTTTCTCCCATTCCATAGGATCTCTCTTCACATTCTTTATTGTTTCCTTTTCTATGAAGAAGGTTTTAGTTTGATACTATCTCATTTATTGCTTCTTGATTTTATTTCTTGCACTTTCAGAGTCTTGTTGAGGAAGTCAATTCCTAAGCTGACATAAGGGAGATTCATGCCTGTTTTCCTCCTAGTGGGCATGGGGTCTCTTGCCTAATGGTCCTTGATACACTTTGAGTTGAGTTTTGTGCAGGGTGAGAGATAGGGGTCTAATTTCATTTTGTTACACATGGATATCCAATTTTCCTAGCACCATTTTTTGAAGAGGCTATTTATTCTTCAATGTATGTTTATGGCATCTTTGTCTAGCATGAGATAACTGTTATTTATGTGGGTGTGTCTCTGTGTCTTCTATTCTGTGCCATTGGTCTACATGTCTATTTTGATGTCAATATAATGCCATTTTTGTTACTGTTGCTCTGTAGTATAATTTAAGGTCTGGTATTGTGATGCCTCCTGCTTCACTATTCTCACTGAGGATTGCTTTGG